AAAATAAAAAGAGAGAGAGAGAGAGAGAGAGAGAGAGAGAGAGAGAGAGAGAGAGGAAAAGAGAGAGAAAGATCCCGAATTTTCGTCGAAGAAGTTTGAAGACACGTGTCTCGTCGGCACCTCGACATTCTCGCGCGGAATTTCACCGACGACTGGTTTCGAACTGCGCGACAACAACTCGCTCGGCGAAGACTGACTGTCCTTTCGTGCGAAAGTCTTACCTTAAACGATCCCGAGCTCCCGGCGAACACAATAGGTCGTTGACAATAGACGCGTCGGCACGCGTCGTGAGGAAAAAAGGCAAAGATGACACAACTACTATCAACACAGTAACAGGTTTCTCTCCCGGAGAGTCGAACGTGCGGAATTGCTTCCCCTCCGCTTCCAAAGTCGAGCGAATTTCATGAATGTTACGAATGTGCGTAACTGAATCTCTTAACTCTTTGAAGCACAGAACCTTCAAGATACGAATCCCAATACAATATTCATGTCACATGTCTAGAATGACAATCCAAGAGATTATTCCTTTCCAAATTGATTTCTTCTATTTTTTCTACTTTTATAGAATAGGAGTGATTTCTCGGTGTAACTGTACAACCACCGTGCAACGAAATATTTCCATCACTACATACACAGGCTGAACGGTGATTTCGTTGCGAGATCACCTGAGATATGCCTGAAGCTGTGATTTGATTCTAATAGGTGATCTCACGGTCAAACCACTGTGTTCTGAAGCGTTAAGACTGAGAATAGCGAATGCGAATAACGATTATTGACTCTCAATTTTAGCCTCCGCAGCTCTAGACCGAACGGAGGATGCAGATAAGGCTTTGATGATACGAACTGCACTAGTCTGGAATTTATCAAGACTTGAATACGTAAACGGTCTTCAGTCCCTTTTTTTTAGCTCGATTTTTCCTCCCCGACTTCTTTGAATTCTTTTTTAGTCTTTCACCTGGTTTTCATTTTTCTATTTGGTTTCATTTGGCGCTTCTCTGAGTTTCTCGTCTGGTTCCTACGTAACGGATAGTTACACTAACGGACTTGTTTCTTCCGTGTGTACGCGACTGAGAGATTACGTCTTATACAGGTAAATTAATGAAGCGATAATAAAGCGTCGGTTATTGCCGACGGCAACCTGTGGCAACTTATTGACGTTCCTCGCGACCAGGTAAGACAATGGCGGACGCGATCGACTTTGGCGCGAGTGAGATTTTCATAATCCCGCGAAAGAGGAGCAGAGATCGAGAGCGTAGAGAGCAACGAGGGCGAACGATATACGCGCGCACACATCCACACACTCTAGGAACGACTGTTTCCCCTTTCGCAATTACGGGGAAAA